GTTCAAAGGAGGGATCTTACAGGTGGTGGTTCGAATAACTCCACAAAGGCCGGGATCCCGTCACCAAGTCACCTTTGATTTACACCTGCCTAGTACATGACACTGACCCAGCTAGCTAAAAGCTGGCTTCTAGAGCAAGCAGAACATTTGTCAGCTGGGACTCACTGATTGGACCAGGTTAACAGCCCCAATCAGGGAACCCTATTCTATGAGGTCCACCTGACTAACCTCGTTCCAATCACTACAAACCTCCCACTCTGGTATTGTCTTTTCCCTAGGATGGGGTATTTCAAGACTAGGGGGCACATCTTAAAGGGGAGAGGACAGAGATTTAAAAAAGACATGAGAAGCAAATGTTTTACACAGAGGGTGGTTGCATGTAGAATGAACTTCCTGAGGAACTGGCAGATGCGGGTACAATCATAATGTTTAAAAGACATTTGGATAAGTACATGAATAGGAAAGGTTTGGAGGGATATGGGCCAGGAGCAGGTAGGTGGAACTAGTTTAGCTTGGGATTATGTTCAGCTTGGATTGTTTAGACTGAAGGGTCCATTTTCATTCTGAATGACTCTATGACTGAGTCCTGGGGCACAGGCCTGCTCTTTTTATCTTCCTCCAACTTTGTCTCAGGTGCTGGCAGCGGTACTGGATTATAGCCGACCTCTTGCACCCACAGCAAATAGGCCAAAATTCATCATTTTCTTCGGGTGATATTGGCTACGACATCCGTCCATCTCGTCCTCAGAAGCTTCTATGACGCTGGACAGAAGGGGAGAACGCTAGGGTTCTGACAGCCTTGCCGGATGTTTTTCTCCTGCCCCATGAGCGAGGTTGCAGCTTTCACGTGGTCCAAATGCTTGCTCAGGACCCCCTCTCTTACCTGAACTTTGTATGTCATGGGACCTGACATCGTGTCGACTGTGCCTCTTACCCATGCAGGGCCATTCCTGTGATTTTGACACCAAATCTCATCCCCTGAAGTAAACTGCCTCTCACTCTTCGAGGAGTCTTGTGTTCAGCACAGGTGCTACTGATGCCATTTCACTCTCCCCACCAGGTCTGAGAAGATCAGGTTTAACCTGGTGCGGTGTCTTCTCCTCATTAGCAATTCTGTTGGAGCTAAACGCTGTAGTTGCATGAGAGGTGGTCCTATAACCAATCCAGAACCAGGATAGTTTGATATCGAGTGAAGCTGTAGGCTGTTTCTTTAAGCCTGCCTTCAAAGTTTGGATTGCTCTTTCCACCAGATGTTCGGATGATGGACGGTATCAAGCTGTCCTTACATGCTGAATGCCATTTGACACTCGGAAATACTCAAATTCCCTGCTGGTAAATGATGGCCTGCTGTCAGTGATCAACACCTCCAGGCATCCATGTATTGCAAAAGATGCATGTAACTTTGCAATCCTTGTCCCAGTGTTTCATGACAAACTCTATGCATGTCCAACCACTTTGAATGGACGTCCACATTGACTAAAAACATAGATTCTATGAAAGGACCGGCGTAGTTGACATGTGACCAAATCTAGGATTTACGCAGCCATTCCCATGAATGTGGAGGAGCTGCTGGCGATAATTTTTATCCTTGTTGGCACTCATGGTGCTGCCCCACTAACGCAGCTATGTCAGCATCCAATCCTGGACACGAAACATAACTTATCACCAACCTCTTCATTTTGGGAACCCCTGGATGAACCTGGAGGAATTCAGCCTGTCTCTGCCTGCAACCTTTGCTCAGGACATTCACTCTTGCTTCCACAATAATATGCCATCCTCTATAGTGATCTGGTCTCGCTGGGTCCAGAAAGGTTTCAGTTCTGGTTGTGATGACCCTTTTGTTTCCCACATCACCACCAGCTGTTTTAGTTTCACCAACACAAGATCTTTCTGTGTCCACAGTCTGATGTGGTTAGCGGTGACTGGAAGGGTGTTCACAAAGTTTAAAATCAGAACAGATTCTTTTATTGGTAGCTCCACTGGTGGTGTATCTGACAATGAGAAGTGGCAAAAGGCATTTGCCACTTGGCCTCCTGGATGATGTTCCAATTTGTAATTGTACACACTTCGTATTAGAACCCACTGCTGAATTAGGCCTGAAGCTATGGGCGGGACAGCCCTGTCCTCTTAAAGTAGCCCTAGCAGGGGTTCATGGTCCATTACTATTACAAATTTATGTTTGTAAAAGCATTGGTGGAACTTTCCCACCCAAAGATGACCTCCAAACCTTCTTTCTTTATCTTCATTTGGCATCAGCCAAAGTCCGGGAAGCATATGCTATTGGACGTTCCCCTCTGCTGGGCCACGGGTGAGCCAAAACTATCCCGACTTTGTACAGGGATTTCCCTACCACTGACATGAGGCTCTGGCCTGTAATTTCCTGGATCATCCCTGTTACCCGTCTTAAACAATGGGACAACATTAGCTATTCTCCAGTCCTCTGGGACCTCACCTATGGCCACAGAGGATACAAAGATTTTTGTCAAAGCTCCAGCAACTTGTTATCTTGCATCCCTCAATATTCTGGGATAGATCCCATTAGGATATGGGGACTTACCTACCTTAAAACTTTTTAAGATGCACAACTCCTCTTCTGTTTAAATAGTAGCTGGGCTTAGAAATTCGCTACTCCCTTCTCTGAGATCATCCTCCGCCAATTCCTTCTCTTTGGTGAATACCGACACAAAGTATTCGTTTAGGACCTCACCAATCTCTTCTGGCTCCATATGTAGATTCCCTCCCATGCCCTTTTGTGGGCCAACCCTTTTCCTGGCCACCCTCTTGCATTTTATCTACATTATAAAAAACCTTGGGATTCTCCTTAACCCTGTTTGCTTATGACTTTTCATGACCCCTTTTGGCCCTTTTAATTCCTTGTTTAAGTTCTTCCTACTTTCCTTATGCACTTCAAGGACTTTGTCAGTTCCCATCCTCCTAGACCTTAGGCTTTGTTTTTCTTTTTGACCAAGGTCATAACATCCCTGGTTATCCAAGATTTGTCACACTTATCCTTGTCAAACTTATCCTTCATTCTTGCAGGAATGTGTCACTCCTGAACTCTAACCAACTGCCGTTTGAAATACTCCCATATGTCTGACATGGATCTACCCTCAAACAGCCACCTCCAATCAAATTTCTCCAGTTCCTGCCTAATATTGTTGTAGTTCGCCTTCCCCCAATTTAATACCTTCACCTGAGGACTGCTGTTATCCCTAACCATGAGTAACATAAAACTCACGGTATTATGGTCACTATTCCCGAAATGCTCCCCCCACTGTAACTTCACTCACCTGGCTGGGCTCATTTTCCAAAACTAGGTCCAGGAGGACCCCTTCCCTGGTTGGACTGTTTACACACTATGTCGAGAAACCCTCCTGATTGGTCCTTACAAATTCTGCCCATCCAAGCCCTTAGCACAAAGTGAGTCCCAGTCAATATAGGGGAAGTTAAAATCACCCATCACAACAACCCTGCCGTTTTTACTTCTTTCCAAAATCTGTTATCATATTCTCTCCTCTACCTCCCGCTGGCTGTTGGGAGGCCTGTATACCCTCAGCATTGTGATTTCACCTTTCCTATTCCTGAGTTCTACCCATAATGCTTCGCTGCACGAGTCCTCTGATATATTCTCCCTCAGCACAGCTATGAGATACTCCTTTACAAGTAATGCAACTCCTCCACCCCTTTTACATCCCCTTCTATCACACCCGAAACATCTAAATCATGGGACATTCAACTGCCAGTCCTGCCCCTCTTTCAGCCAAGTCTCCATAATCGCAATAATGTCATAGTTCCAAGTACTAATCAAAGCTCTAAGGTCATCTACCTTGCCTATTATACTTCTTGCATTGAAACACATGCATTTCAGACCACCTCCTCTGATCTTTTCAGCAGGGTTTCCCTGTCAGCCCTTGTTCTTAGTCCTGCTTGCCTTGGTTTCTACCTCTCCTTCAATTTCTGCATCTACTGGCCCTACTCCTCTGATTCCCATCCCCTGCCACACTAGTTTAAACACTCCTGGAAATGTTCTGCCAAGTACCCCATGCCAAGGACATCAGTCCCGGTCCTGCCCAGGTGTAACCCATCCTGTTTGGACAGGTCCCACCTCCCCAGAACGTGTCTTCATGCCCCATGAATCTGAAACCCTCCCCTTTTCAGCCATCATCCCATATACCCTGCTGTTTCCTGAGATAAGTACCTTTGAGGTCCTACATTTCAACTTTCTTCCTAGTTCTCTATATTCTGCTTTTATGACTTCATCCTTTTTTTTGTAACCTATGTCATTCATACCAACATGCACTACGACCACTGGCTGTTTGCCCTCCCCCTCCAAATTGTCTTGCAACTGTACCGAGACATCCAGGATCCTAGTACCAGGGAGGCAACACACCATCCTGGGTTCTCATTTGTGGCCGCAGAAACACTTATCTATTCCCCTTACAACTGAATTGCCTACAATTATAGCGTTGCTATGCCAATTTGTCCCTCCCTTTGCAGCAGAACCAACCGTGGCGCCATGAATTTGGCAGCTGCTGTTATCCTAAGAGGCCATTCTCCTCAACAGTATCCAAAACTTTACATCTGATTTGCAGGTGAAAGCCACAGGAGATTCCTGAATTGCTTGCTTAGACTTCCTGCTCTGCCTGATAGTCGCCCATTCTCTTCCTGCCTGTGGAGTTTGAGTCTGCGGTGTGATCATCTCTCTATACTCGCTAATGCTTCACAGAGCCTTCAGACAATGCTCCAATTCCGAAACTCGGGCTTCCAGGAGATGCAGCTGGAGACTCTTCTTGCACACGCAAAGGTCCCGGGCACTGCAGATGTGCCCAGCTTCCCATACCATGCAAGAGAAGCAGACTGCGATAGTCTCAGAGACTAACAAATGCAGACCAAATAAAGTTTGACTGTTGCACTTTCGTAAAATGGAAACAGGACGTGTTTTTTTCTAATTGTATCACTGATCAAATCAAAACAATAAAAAATCTCAGCTTATTACGTACCTTCCATGGCATATTTCATGTCCTGTGCAAATAGGCTCCACATTACTTCTGCGCTTATCTTTCCAACATTAAGTTCCTGAGGAAATCTGAAATTAAGGAAATGTAATTTGAGAGAAATAGAATGCGGGGTTAATATTGCAGAAAGTTGCAGAAAACATATATATAGCCAAAAACACCTAAGGGGAATACTTGGTTAGGGCCTTAAAACTGACCTTGAGAATTTGAAGCACAACCCAGCCCATGTCTATTTTTTTAAATTAATTTTTTTGTGAGATGTCGGTGCCACTAGCAGGACAGCACTTATTGCCTGTCCTGAGTTGCCCTTGTGAAGGAGGTGGTGAGCTGCCTTCTTGAACCGCTATAGTCCACCTGCTGTGGTTTGACCCACAATGTCATTAGGGAGGGAATTCCAGGATTTTGACCAGTGACAGTGAAGGAATGATGATATATTTTCAAGTCAGGATGGTGAGTGGCTTCGAGGGGAACTTGAAGGTGGTGGTGTTCCCATATATCTGGTGCCCTTGTCCTTCTCGATGAAAGTGGTTGTGAGTTTGGAAGGCGCTGTCTGAGGATCTTTGATGAATTTCTGCAGTTCATCTTTAGACAGTAGACACTACTGCTACTGAGCTCCGGCGGTGAAGAGAGTGAATGCTTGTGGATGTAGTGCCAATCAAGTGGCTGCTTTGTCCTAGATAGTGTCAAGCTTCTTGAGTGTTGATGGAGCTAAACCCATCCAGGCAAGTGGGGAGTATTTCACTAAGCTCCTGACTTTTGCCTTGTAAATAATGGACAGGCTTTGAGGAGTCAAGAGGTAGGTTACTCACTGCAGTATTCCTAGCCTCTGACCTGAGTAGCTATTGTGTTTATGTGGTGAGTCCAGTTGAGTTTCTGGTCAATGGTGACTCCCAGGATGTCGATTGTGGGGAATTCAGTGATGGTAATATCATTGAATGTCTATTTGATCAGATTCAAGCAGCAAACAAAATTCAATTGTGTGGAAGTCCAATACATTAGAGCTAGCCAACAATGGGCATGAAACAATAAAAGATGCTGGTATATTCCTATCTAATTCATATTCTCAAGCCCCACCTAGGTGCAACACTGTCCCCAGCTCCTTTTCTGTGTCACGTCCTTGTTAATATCAGGGCCAATCTTTCCGCAGGTCAGTTCCAAAGTTACCTTCTTTAAAGCTCAAAGTTCCTTCTCAAAACGAAACAACTTGTCAACATTCGTATCATTTACTATTTTTCAAACTCTTATAAGCATGATTATACCACTTCTCGGGTTCCTATTTCCCTGTGGGAATTTGCTCATGCTCCATTATCTTTCTTCACCACATGATTTCTAATTTCAGTCAATTATTTTGCTTGCATGCCTCTGTACTATTTCAACAGCTACCACATCCTTATTGAACAATGCAGACCAGAATTATGTTGTATAGGTCTGCATTTTAATTATGGTTCTACTAATGATTTAAAATATAACAGAACAGGGAGGCGATGGCCCTAGTGGTATTATTGCTGGACTGTTAATCCAGAGACCCAGGTAATGTTCTGGGGACCTGGATTTGAATCCTGCCACAGCAGATGGTGCAATTTGAATTCAATAAAAATCTGGAATTAAAAATCAGCAGCGCCCTCATCCCATGAATGAATGTTAAAAAAACCAGTGTGTCAACCCAATGTTGACATTCAAAGACATTCCAAGATCAAATTTGCTTTAGTTCATTTAGTGCGCTGTTGCGATTGCTTCAATTTTTAAAAAAAATTTGCTCTTCAGAGCTATTTCATTTTCCAAGAAATGCTCAAGCTGTACTTGATCCATTAATATGGCAACTCGAGATTAAACAGTTTTCATTAATTTGTATAAAAATTACCACAGTGAGTCCTGCTTACTGATTAAGAACTGGTGTATATGAATTCTTATCTTCTTCAATAATAGAGACGATAAGAGTGATAAGCTTAGGCCAGAAATCCAAATTTTTTATACTTGGTCCCTGCTCCTCAGGAGGCAGTTCCTGTTTTTTGTTCTGCAAAAGAAGAAATGCACACAGCACACAAATCTGAAAACATGCATAACTAAAACATATTAACTCATTAGTTGCATTTTAGTATTCCATTGCCCAATACTAACATTCTGCACCAGGTTCAACACAAAAGTTTTTCTTTTCAGTCCTTACCACATGCTCACCAAGGTATAATTCCGTGGCCATTCTGCATATGAAAACCTGGAAAACATGGACAGTCTATTTCTCTATGGGTATATCAGCACCACATGGATTAAAGTAGTTGAGCAAGGAGCAGCATTTCTCAAGGGCATTTGGGTATGAACAAATATGCTGGCCAAGTCAGCAATGTACATATCCCGTGAAGAAATAAAAAAAAAAATCTTACAGCCAACCTTATCCTCACTTGGGTCCTTCAATCAGAACATGATACTCGGGATTTTCCATTTCTAAATGCCCAGTGAACTGAGGCCAATTTTCGTATCCCTATCACCATCTGATTAACATGAGCAATTTGTACAGTGCAGGCATTGAATCTGGCCTTAAAATAAATATTGCACTCTATCAACTAAGTAACGTCAGTTATTGTTATTTCCTTAATAATATGGAATGAATTAAATAACAGCACATAAAAGTAACAAATATTGATTTTCTGTTTTATTTCAAAAGATCACGTGGTTCAGTTAGATCAAAAGAGAAAAGAAGAATTTCAGAGTTTTATGTTATATTTTATTGGTTGAGAGAATATTTATTGCCTTGTATTGCTTATTGATCATTTCTAATCTGTGAACGACTTTAGATATTTAATAGATTAAAGGACGATATAATAAAATTTCGAAGAGTTGTCATTGGATTCAAAACATTATCTCTGCTTCTTTCCGCCAGCAATTTTTGTTTTTATTTCGAATTTCCAGGAAAGTATGTTGCTTTGGTTCATATTTGAATTGAGGCAATGGCCAGGATTTTACTGGTAGGGGTTAAATTCCAACATTGGGTCTAAATGCAGGTGTGGAGCTCATGCGGGGGAGAGCAGAGGGACTATGGCAGAAATCTTCCTAGGGGTGACCTCTTGAGGGAAGGAGTGGTGGGGGGCACGGGGAGAGAGAGAGATAGAGAGATAGAGAGAGAGACAGACAGACAGAGAGAGAGAGAGAGAGAGAGACAGAGAGAAAACTACCAAGGCCGAAAGGTGGTCAAATGCTTGCAGCAGAGAAAGACAAATCACCGTATGGCCCCAGCGATCATTGGCGTGGTGGGGCGAGGCGCGGGTGGGGCGGGGGGAGGGGGAGGGGGCCTTGAGTGTCAGCGTTGGCTGTGAATAAAGCTGCCCAAGTCTGTGTCTTTGAAATAGGTCCCCTCTGAGAACCTCATATTTGAAATATCACTCCACGCTGTAGGCAGCCTCTTCGTACAGAAAATGGTCTTCAATTGGATTGGTAATTTTAAAGATTGACTGCCTGCCTTCTGGTAGTGGAGTCCTCACCTTTCCTATTACTGGCAAGAACACCCAACACAAAACTATGGGGAGCACTACTGAAGTGGCTCTCCAGCATTTTATTGCCCTGCAACTTTCTAGGCTGTCACTTAAGGGCTGAGAAAATTTCAACCAATACAAGATTGAACTGCCTCATTAGGAGAAGGATTAATTTGTGTTCTTTGCAATTCCACAAGAAATTTGTCTGGTTTAAGGGGTCTACCTGATGACAAAACTTTGCTGATTTTTTAAAAAATTCTGCTGTGTAGAACAAGTTTAAAGAGATAAATGTGTGGTTCAAAGATTAATGTGGGAGAAACAGGTTCAACATCATGGGACATTGGCACCAGCACTGAGGCAGGAGGGAGCCTTTCCAATGGGACCAGAATGTTGGCGAATCGCAGAAAGAGGGTGTGGGTGCATTTGCATAGAAAATTACATAAAAGATTAAAGGAGGGAAGGACTTAGCAAAGTTTTTAAAGTTTCCAGAACAAGAAATAGGACAGAGGGTACGGAAAGGGTTCGGAATCCAACTTCAGGCACAGCAGATGAGGAGACAACTATGAGATTGGGGACAGTCAATGCAGGACTGAGGGTGTTGTAATTAAATACACACAGTAGAAGAAACAAGCTAAATGAGACTGAAGTGCAGATTTAAATTGGCTGGTGTGATATTCTGGATATCACAAAGACTTCGCTGCAAGGGAGTCAGGGCTGGTAACTAAATATCCAAGGACACACATTCCATTTAAAAGATAGACAGATGGGCAGAGGGGTGGGGTTGCCTTGTTAGTAAGAAATAAAATCGATAGCAAGATGTGATACAGTCTTGGAAGGCACAGAATCTGTATGGGTAGAGTTGAGGAACTGCAAAGGAAAAACAACACTGATGGGAGTTGTATACAGGCCTCCTAACAGAAGTCAGAACGTGGGTAAGAAAATAGATCAGGAGGTAGAAAAGACATGCATGAAAGGCACTATTACAATAAACATGGGGGACTTCAATATGCAGACCGGGAAAATCAGGTTGATCGCGGATTTCAAGAAAAAGAATTTGTGGAATATCTACGAGATTTTTTTTGGAGCAGCTTGTGTTAGGGCTCACTAGCGAATAGGCAGTTCTGGATTTGTGATGTGTAATGAGGCAGGCTTGATTAGGGAGCGTAATGTAAAGAAACCCCTCGGGGGCAATGACCATAATATGGTAGAATTCATTTTGCAGTTTGAGAGTGAAAAGCTGGAATCAGGTGTGTTGGTATTACAATCGAGTAAAGATAACGACAAAGACAGGAGACAGGTGATGGCCAGAGTTTTTTTTCAATTCATTTGTGGGATGTGGGCATCGCTGGCTGGCCAGCATTTCTTGCCCATCCCTAGTTGCCCTTGAGAAGGTGGTGGTGAGCTGCCTTCTTGTACCGCTGCAGTCCTCCTGCTGTTGGTTGACCTACAACGTTATTCGGGAGGGAATTCCAGGATTTTGACCGAGTGACAGTGAAGGAACGGAAATATATTTCTAAGTCAGGATGGTGAGTGATTTGGAGGGGAACTTGGAGGTGGTGGTGTTCCCATATGTCTGATGCCCTTATCCTTCTGGATTGAAGTGGTCGTGGGTTTAGAAGGTGCTGTGGGATCTTTGGCGAATTTCTGCAGTGCATCTTGTCAGTGGACGTGAACTATTTGGATTCTCAGAAGGCCTTTGACAAGACCCTGCACGGGGCCCGTTAAACAGGAAAAGAGCCCATGGTGTTAGGGGCAATGTGCTGGCATGAATACAGGATTTGCTGACTGGCAGAAGGCAAAGGGTAGGGATAAAGGGATCTTTATCAGGATAGCAACTGGCGGCTTGTGCAGTTCTGCAGGGGACCAGAACTCTTCATGTTATACATTAACAATCTGGGTGAAGGAATATTGTTGCTACATTTTCAGATGACACACAAATATGTGGAGGGACAGGTAGTGTTGAGGAAGCAGGCAGGCTGCAGGAGGACTTGGACAAGAGAGTGGGCAAAGAAGTGGCAGATGGGATACAATGTGAAAAAGTATGAGGTAATGCACTTTGGTTGGAAGAATAGAGTAGACTATTTTCTAAACAGGAAAAGACTTCAGAAATCTGAAGTACAAAGGGGCTCCTCCAGCTCCACGCTGTGTTATCTCTGACTCCAGCATCTGCAGTCCTTACTATCTCTTAAGGTTAACATGCAGGTCCAATTGTCAATTATGGAAGGCAATTGCAATTATAACATTAATTTCAAGAGAGCTAGAATACAAGAGCTGAAATGTACTGCTGAGACTGTCTAACGCTCTGGTCAGACTGCATTTGGAACACTGAGAGCAATTTTGGGCTCTGTGTTCAAGGATATACTGGCGTTGGGGTGCATGCAGAGGAGGTTTCGAAGAATGATTCTGGGGATAAAGGTTGTGTCATAGGAGCCATGATTGAGAACCTTGGTGTGTACTCAAAGGAGTTTACAAGGATAATTGGGGCAGTGATTGTAACTTATAGAATATGAGAGGCTGGAATAGAGTGAATGTAGAGAAGATGTTTCGAGTAGCAGGTGAGACTAGGACCCAAGGTGCTTCAAAGTGAAAGGACAACCCATGAAAACTGAGATGAGGAGGAATTTCTTCAGCCAGAGGGTGGTTAATCTGTGACACTCGTTGCTGCAAAGGACTGTGGAAGCCAAGTTATTGAGTGTATTTAAGTCAGAGACAGACAAGTTTCTTGTTTGGGAAAGGGATCAAGGGAGAACACAGGAGAATAGGGGTGAGAAACACATCAGCCATAATCGATTGGCAGAGAATACTTGATCGGCTGAAGGGCATAATTCTGCTCCTATGCCTTATGGTCTAGTCCCCGTCAACTTTTTTCAGGAATGAAATGAAAAGCCAGCTGGCAATTATTCTATCTTCTGTTCTAATCTGCAAGCTATAGAGAGATGCTCATAGCTGACAAATTCTTTAGTGATTTCAGGTGAATCACGGGTACCTTGGCGTCTGTTTTGCAAGCTAACCAGTCAAATTTTATGCTGCTCATTCATGCATGCCGTATTCATCAAGTTTCCTTCAATTGCCTTCATGGTCACAATGACTTATCTTCCATTCAATACAGTGAAGGCGGATTTATACCCTAAACGCTGAATGCCTTATACTTCTTATACTTTAAATTTGAATATTCTGTGAGTTTGCACACAGAGATTGCTGAATTTGTCACTTACTGGATCAGTTTGATATTCTCGACTGTACAGTTCATGGCAGTTGTTGAAAATATATTCATAGGTTGAATTGAGGCAAGCTTTCACACAGTCCTTCACCACTTGACTGGCTCGTGGTGGGCTCTGCAATTCTTGCACCTAAAAAAAGGTCATGGATGCGTTACTATTTGTGAGCCTTCTAATATTATACACTGGAAATGAATAGCTGTACCAGGTTCAAATAAAATTGGAAGAAAAAGCAAATAAAGACATTGATATTTAACATTTTTAATTAAATTCCATTCAACCAAAAAAACAGTATCTATGAGATAATGAAATATGAATCAAATGACTGTGGGGATCACTTCATGCGGTGCAAGGCACAGCTGTAGCTGTCACATTACTATTTGGGAAAATACTTGTATTGTGACATTAAAAACTGACTAAGTACACACTGCAGTGAGACCAACAAAGCTTCTTTCTCAAACTGAAAAGTACTTAGGTGGTTTGATGTGTTGGAAATTAGACAGGATGCCATCATGCAGTTCTTCACAGCACACAACAGATCTGCCAAAATGCAGATAGAAACAGCATCAGCTACATCTCACATATATCCCAATACTGAAATTAATTTGAATAATCAGCACAACTGTATATAATCTCGGTCAGAGTGGGGAAAATCCTAATTAGGTGAGTATTATGCCTTTTTGTGGTCACAGACTAGTTCTCAAAAGAGGAAACAGTCTCAAAGTGTCACAATGATGCCACCCGGAAACTGGAGGAGCAGCACCTCATATTCCACCTCGGGAGCCTACAGCCCAATGGCCTAAGCGTGGTTTTTACCAGTTTCAAAATCTCCCCACCCCCGGCCTCATCCCATGACCAACCCTCCCTTTCATCCTTGCCTCCTTGACCTGACACAACCTGTTCATCTTCTCTCCCACCTCAATGACCAATCCCCACCACCTACCTGTACTCACCTATCACCATCCCACCTACCTTCCCCAGCCCCACCCCTCTTCTGTCTATTTATTTCAGAGCTCCCTTCCCCCGCTGTTTCTGAAGAAGAGTCCCGACCCAAAACATCAACTTTCCTGCTCCTCTGATGCTGCCTGGCCTGCTGTGTTCCTCCAGCTCCACACTGTGTTATCACTGACTCCAGCATCTGCAGTTCTTACTATCTCTAAGGGAGAAAAACGAAATTGTGATTTATTGATTAGACGACATTATCAGAACTACTCTAGACTAATAGATGGGTTCACTTATGAGAAAAGGTTGCATAGGTTTGGCTTCTCTTCTCTGGAACTTGGAAGAGTAAAAGATGACTTGATTCAAACATATAAAAACCTGAGGGATCTTAGTAGAGTACGTGTGGGAAGAATTCTTGTCACAGATTCCAGAATTTGGGCTGTTTAAAAATGAACAGTTGCCCATTTAAGAAAGAGAACAAGAAATTTTCCTTTCTCACATAGGATCAAGGATCTTTGGAACGTACTTCCTCAAAAAGGCAGTGGAAGCAGGATCTTTAATTCTTTTGAAGGCAGAGGTAGATAGATTCTTGATTAGCAAGTGGGTGAAAGGTTATTGTGGGTAGGTAGGAATGTGGAGGAATCAGATTGGCCATGATATTCTTGAAATGGCAAAGCAGGCATGAGGGGCTGTGTGGCCTACTCCTGCTCTTACATATGTTCATATGTAACCGTGGCTTAGGTGAGTTAGACGGAATAAAATATAGTTCAGATGGCAACTGAAGAACATTATTTTAACACCTGACAGTCATGATTTAGTCAAAACCTTAATGCCAATACAACTGTCTAAAATTAAGCTAGTGTACCTGGTCAGTGATTGAAATGAACTCTGACTCAGAGGGTCAGTAGTTAGCATTGCTGCCCCACAGCGTTAGGGACCTGGGTTCGATTCCTGCCTCAGGCGAGTTTGCACATTCTCCCCGTGTCTGCGTAGGTTTCCTCCCACAGTCCAAAGATGTACAGGTTAGGTGGATTGGCCATGCTAAATTGCCACAGTGTTCAGGGATGTGTAAATTAGGTGGCTTACGTGGGTAAGTGGATCTGAGTCCACGAAAAGATCAGCCATGATCTTACTGAATGGCGGAGCAGGCTCGAAGGGCCGGACGGCCTACTCCTGCTCCTAGTTCTTAGTTCTTATGTAATTACATGGAAAAGGGGTAGGGATGGGACTGGGTGGGATACTCTTCAGACTTGTTGGGCCAAAGGGCCTGTTTCCACACTGTAGGGATTCTATGAGTCTATGAGAAATACAGTCAGGCCAGTTTCCATGACTCAAAAGGAGAGTCCAAAGAGCCGTAGGGTTGATGGGTGGAGTAGGGAATTTGGTGGCATCAGTTCCCGGTGGGTGATGAGAGGTAATTTATTTAAAAACTTTTCACAGGATATGGGTGTTGTTGGCTGGGCCAGCATTTATTGCCTATCCCAAACTGACCAGGAGAGGGTGGTGGTGAGATGCCTTCTTGAACAACTGCAAGGATACTGTTTGGAAGGAAAATCCAGGATTTTGACACAGCAACAGCAAATGAATGGTGATACAGTTCTAGTCAGGAAGCTGTGATGTTTAGAGAGGTGGCAGAGGTTGCAGGTTTGATAGACACTGTTGAAGGAGCCTTGGTGAATCATCCACCCTGACATAATCTGATGTACATCTTCTGTTGACAGACCATTCATTGCCTCATAGCATTAGCAATCCGTCTGCTTCAAGTGTTCTCATTTCCTAAGAAAGAATAGACCTATCACTTAGAGATTGCATCCAATACTGAGAGTCTGATTTTAGAGACAGTGGCAATGTCTGATGAGGTGGGATGAGGAGCCAGTGTTCTCTATCTGCAGAGACTTGAAAGACAACCTATATGAGGTAAAAATAAATGTGACCTGGCTTTACAGGTATTTCCCCAGCTGGGATCTCTAGGAAACTAGAGGCTCTAATCCTAGAGAATAGACTCTTTCAGGCTTGCTTCTGTCTTCTGTCCTCCATGGCTGCGTCCATGCGTAAGATATTGCAAGATACCAATCAGTCCACATGCACTGTGATTCCATGACTTTGTGGGAATTCGCTGAATGCTTTGCCATGTGTACACGAGACAGGATGGTTCCTTGGGAGTGGAACTTGGTTAAGCATGGTTCTCCAGCAATTGAACTCAAATCTTAGGTTGCCCCTACAGTCAGTCAAAAGTTCCAACTGTTAAATCTACCCACCCAACAGAGTCTTTCCACACTTTGGGTGCTGACTTTTGCCAGCACCTGCAAACATGGCTTCTTTGTGAAAAGATACTTTGCAACACTTTGACAGTGAGGATTAACACATTTGAACCTCTGCAAATATCCCCCATTATTCATCCCCCATAACCCCCACCGATTCCTATTGCCTGTTATCTTTGAAACACCCCTCCCCTTTCTATTGATCTCATCATTTGACTGATTTTCCTATTCTCCCTCTGAGCTCCAAGTCTATATGTTTAAAAGCCAATTCTGACCCTGATCCTTACCATTTTCCAGTTGATCTGCACCCTCATTTTTCATAACACCCTTTCTAAGACCACACACTACCTGCTCATGATTCTGGAACCCTCACCCTACCACTTCCGACTTACCCTTTAACTCTGATGATACTTTCTGACCATGATTAAGATCCCCAGAAACCTGTGACATCGCTGACTATCAACTGGACACCCAGCTCTTTCTGACACATCATGCCCAAGCATTAGTCAAAACAACCCAAAACAGGGCAGGGATAACAAGATGTACAGCTGGATGAACACAACAGGCCAAGCAGCATCAGAGGAGCAGGAAGGCTGACGTTTCGGGCCTAGACCCTTCTTCAGAAATTTTCAGAATTTTCTTCAGAAATCTTCAGAAAGGTTTCTGAAGAAGGGTCTAGGCCCAAAATGTCAGCCTTCCTACTCCTCTGATGCTGCTTGGCCTGCTGTGTTCATCCAGCTGTACACCTTGTTATCTCAGGTTCTCCAGCATCTGCAGTTCCTACTATCTCCAAAACAGGGCAGGCACTTGTTACCATGTTCACCCCCTCATTCTTGGACAAACAACACCCAACATTTACCCACTGCTCCTCCTTTCCTACTAACCCTCCTTTCTTGTGCTGCCTTTGCTTCACCCAGAACCATAAAGACATCCTGCTTTCCCCCCCCATACTGCCTTCGCCCTATTTGGAGAATCTACACTGCAACTCAATCATTCACATTAATTTAAAACATTACTGTCTTGAGGACAAAGCAGCAAGAATTATTCTGAAGTCCAGTAAAAATCTCCCTCAACAGGTGCACACCCCTTATATACAGTCAAGATTCTGAAAGCACGTATTTCTGGCTTGAGGAGAATTTAAATTAGGATGGGGCATTTAATTTAGTCTTTTAATTAGATGCAAATGTATTTTAAATATGCTTCTCGACACCTGCAGTCAGGAATGTTGACTCACTTTTTAAGGTCAAAGAACTTAATTGCCGAGGTTTATCCCACTGTGAGGATTCTCAATTTTGAATTCTCGCCCAATTAAGTTTCCCTGCCTGCCATTGTTCTCATCTCCTCTGGTACCGGAGATTCCACCCATAATTTAGTAACACTCCAGTTGAATACCTATATATAGCTATTAGCAAGTCTTCACATTTAATTGAATGGCAGCTGAGAGCAAACGAAGAAATGAATAATGATATAATCATGCTACAATCTCCGATACAGATACACTACTGTGTGAAGCTTGTGCCAGAATTAAAACAATAATTTATAAACTGTGGCACTGCACGTTCATGGAGAGCATGCAGATAACAGAAGGAAATGTGACAAGGATTATGACTCATGCTAGGGTGTAAACGGAAGGGAAACGAGACAGGGAATAACAGGAGAGAGAGACAAGAAGTGGAAGAGGAGGCATAGGGTAAAAAGAGGATGCTTTTAAAAATTTGCAAAATTGGCTACTACTTGTGCCAGCTTAGATACACCTGGGAATAAATGTCTGTGCATTCTCTGTTGCCTTGAGTTCCGTGTACTATGGTGCCAGTCACATTGGAGTTGGAAAAGGATCAGGGTGAGAATGAGTGCAGATCCAGTTGGCAAGGAGGAACCAGAAGGCAGTATGAATCAACAGATCAACTCCGCTCTGAAGTAGTGCTGGCTCCAAAGTGCCAGTTACAGATCTCAAAGCAGCAACACAGAACCAGATTCTGCTAGCTGTGACCATCAGAATGAGGAATGAAGCTGGCAGATAACTGCAGGCATCATAGATGAACAGGGAACCAGGAACAGCTAACAAGATAACAAGGTGTAGAGCTGGATGAACACAGCAGGCCAAGCAGCATCAGAGGAGCAGGGAAGCTGACGTTTTGGGTCTGGACCCTT